ATCATAAGTCGGGGGTCCACTGTACTACTAAACTGTACTTTGAAAATAGTTTTCTTATAACATACAGTACTGTATTTATTATTAATGTAAGCTACATATTTTGTTTTAAACTTAACTGTAATTTTAATTATGTGTAGCATTTTAAATCTTCATTGGTTTCTGTATTGGACATGTTCAGTATAACCAATATTATGTTCTTATTTCTTTATGCATTACTGTACATGTTCTTATAGCAGGTAGTGGCCCATTTCCTCTTAAATCCTTGTTCAAGAGTCAATATATTTTGTATCTTCTGGTAGAAAGTTGAAGAGTCTTGGACTGCAGATGTTTTGGTATAGTTTTCTGTAATTGTACATGGTTTGTGACATGAGAATAATTAGTTTTGAATTGCTTTAATTAATCTGTAATGATGATCTGTATTATGTGGCAATAATTTAGCCACAGTAGTAGCAGGTTGGTAATGGTACTAGCAAATTGATAATGGTGTATGTAAAGTTCATTTTGAATGTACTGAATAACTAAATGGTTTTAATACTATATAAATCAAATCAAAGAACAGTATAAACAGTGTCTCATTTAAACATTCTGCAAAAAAAAAAAAAAAAAAAAAAATCTACAAGAGTTTGGAATACATACTGCATAGCATTTAATGTAAGATGACTGAATATTTAGGACTTTTCTACAACAGCCACCTTTTTCAATATTTTATTTAATATTGCTTCAACTATTGTATTATAGTTGCTGAAATAGTTATAATAGTAGAAACTGAGGACAATTTATGTGTATTGGTACTCTTAATTTATTTTATTATTTAAATTTGCAGCATTAAGTGGATAATGACAAGAAAATTTTAATGATAACTATGGTACAATATTATGTAATTTGGTAAATTTTGAATGTTGGTCGTTGTATGAATTTGGTGATAATTTATAAGATACTTTAAACTGTACAGTATTATATGAGCTGTGTAATGGATATAATTTTATGTTGTGCAGATGGGAAAATCCTAATGTAACATAACACAACCTAACTTAATCTGATGGTACTCACATTGTAGCATGCAAAATAGTTGTGGTTACACACTCACAGTCTGGTTTATGAGGTCATGCATCAGGAGACCTGGCCTGGGACTGGGCGTTGACTCTCAGAACACATTCTAGATAGACTGCAGGTAATCCACTTTTTTCACACCTGGTGCATAATATAATAGTAAGTAAGTAAGTAAGTAAATTTATTCAGGTATTCACAAATAGTTACATAGAATTATCATACATAGCAGCATATGTGTAGAGAACCTAGGATAACCCAAAAAAGTCAGACAGAGTGACTTATTTCCATTGGGGTCCTTTTACCTTATTATTATAATATAAAGGTTATAATATTTTCTTATTATTCTACAATGAAGATAACATCTTATTATCATACTAAAAAGACTATCTACTACATGAGGGTCATTAAGACTATCTACAATACGAGGGTAATAATAATAATAATAATAATATCATTATTTCTACGCGTACATATACAAGGTACAGTGGACCCTCAACCAGCGATATTAATCCGTTCCTGAGCTCATCGTTAATCAAAATAATCGTTAGTCAAGTTAATTTTCCCCATAAGAAATAATGGAAATCAAATTAATCCGTGCAAGACACCCCAAAGTATTGAAAAAAAAAAAATTTACCACATGAAATATTAATTTTAATACACACAAACTGAAGAAGACATGCACAGTTACATGACACTTACCTTTATTGAAGATCTGGTGATGATTGATGGGATGGGAGGAGGGGAGACCGTTGATCTTGTTAGTGTTTAGAAGGGGAATCCCCTTCCATTAGCACTTGAGGCAGCAAGTCTTTTTCTGGGGTTACTTCCCTTGTTCTTTTAATGCCACTAGGACCAGCTTCAGAGTCACTGGACTTCTGTCACACAACATATCTGTCCATAGAGGCCTGTACCTCTCGTTCCTTTATCCTAAAGTGTTTCACAACATTGTCAGTGTAATAGTCACCAGCACAGCTTGCAATAGCTGTGTGAGGGTGATTTTCATCAAAAAAGGTTTGCACTTTAAGCCACTTTGCACACATTTCCTTAATCTTTGAAGCAGGCAACTTCTTCAATTTCTCTCTCCCCTCCTCCGAAGCAGTTTCCTCAGGTGTGGCCTCTTACTGTTGAAGATGATCTAGCAGCTCATCAGTGGTTTGTTCTTCATTGTCCTCCTCCACCAACTCTTCCACATCCTCCCCACTAACCTCACCAATATGAGCACTAGTTCCAGGCATTTTTTCCTGTTCACCTGGGTGTTAGTCAACTGTTGTGGGTCGCATCCTGAGGGACAAGATTAAGGACCACAATGGAAATAAGTTAGACAGTCCTCGATGATGCACTGACTTTCTTGGGTTATCCTGGGTGGCTAGCCCTCTGGGGTTAATCGTTTCTCGGTAATTGTTTCACGTTAAGCCACACCAACAACACTCTCCACATCTTCGAGTAATACAGCTGATGGTGGTGCAGTAACAACAACAGCTGACTGTGGTGCAGCAGCAGCTGCACCTTTGGCAAGAACAGCTCCTTGATTGCCATTTTCTTACCCACAATAGTAGCAATGGTTGATTGGGGTTTATTATACAACCTGACCAGCTCAGAGACACGCACTCCACTTTCATACTTAGCAATGATCTCTTTCTTCATCTCCATGGTAATTCTCACCCTTTTTGCTGTAGGGTTGGCACTAGAAGCTTTCTTGGGACCCATGGTGACTTATTTTGCAGGTGCAATCACTACAAAGGCTGTGATAATATGAAATGTTCCAGTTGTTGTATGTTTGGAAGCGACCGCGGTGGCTGGCTGGCTTGTAAACACTGACACCCAAGGGACAAGTGAGGCGCGCTCAGGCCAAAGTGGATGCGTATGGTACGGAACGAATAGCGCTGGTCGGGTTTTTAAGCGCTAGTTGAGGCAAAATTTTTGCGTTTAAATGTACCGCTAGTCAGATTTATCGTTAATCGATGCCATCGCTGGTTAAGGGTCCACTGTATACAGGCCTAGCTTGACATCAGTGACATACTACTACAGTGGTCCCTCGTTTATCATCGTTAATCTGTTCCTGGAAGTGCGACGATTATCGAAATAGACAATTTTCGAATAAATTTTCCCATAAGAAATAAATACAATTAATCCGTTCCTGACACCCAGAAGTATTAAAACAAAAATTTTTTTACATGAAATATAGATGGAGTACATAAACAATACAATGCGATATGATGAATGAAACATTAACAGCATAACACTTACCTTTATTGGCAATTCTTCTTAGTGTATGGAAGACTGGAGGAGGAGAGAGATGGATTAGTTACTGTTTGGAAGGGGAATTCCCTTCCATCAACACCTCAGGTACCAAGTCCTTTTCTGGGGTTACATGCTTCTCTTCTCTGTTTCTTAATGCCACTAGGACCAGCTTGAGAGTCACTGGAGTCCTGTCTCACAAAAACGTGTCCAGAGAGCTCTGTTTCTAGCGTCTCTTTAAAACTTCCCTGAAATGGGCCAAGACTCTGTCACTGTACAAGTTGCTGATATGGCTTGAAGCATCCTTCACAGGGTGATGTTTCTCCATAAATCTTTCCATCCTACCCCACATTTCAAAAATCTCCTTAATTTCTGAAGAAGGCACCTTCTTCCATCTCTCTTCCTCCTCCTCTGCAGCAAGATTCTGAGCTGCGATCTGTTGCTGTTCCTGCTGAAGCTCTTGCAGCTCCTCAGTGGTTAGCTCTTCATTGTGGTCCTCCACCAACTCTTCCACATCCTCCAAACTCACATCCAACCCCATGGAACTCCCCAATGCCACAATAGATTTCACAACTGACATAGGCTCATCAGGGTCAGCCACAAACCCTTCAAAATCCCTCTTGTGGACACAATCTGGCCACAATTTTCTCCAAGCAACAACAGCTTCCTTGATTTTCTTTTTCTTTGCCATGATGGAAGATATGGTTGTATGGGGTTTGTTATACATCCTGGCCAGTTTGGCCACATGTACGCCACTTTCATATTGTTCAATGATGTTTTTCTTAAATTCAATCGTATTTCTCACCTTCTTTACCAAAGGCTTGGCACTAGGAGCTTTCTTTGGAGCCATGGTAGCTTATTTAACATTTGCAAGCTCTAAAATGAATGGAATATTATGAAATATTTCTTATGAACTAGTGAGGGGACCATCGCTCACTGGTAAACAATGGCACACTGGCTGGGAAGGGAAGCCGAGGTGGCTCAGAGCTATGAGTACGCGTCCAGGATGAACGACGATTAGCGAGTCAACCGACCATTTGCGAGCCAATGTTTGGACAAAAATAATGCGACGATTTCCGAAAAGGATGACTATCGAGCCCGATGATTATCAAGGGACCACTGTATATAGAAAGCCGCTTGTTACGCAGAGCATTTCGGGCAAATTAGGTCAGTTTTGTCCTAGGAAGTGACCCACACCAGTTGACTAACACCCAGGTACCCATTTTACTGATGGTTGAACATAGACATCCGGTGTAAAGAAACACAGCCAGTGTTTATACCCTATCAGGGAATCGAACCTGGACAATCGCCGTGTGAAGTGAGAGCTTTAGCCACCAGGCCACGGGCTACCATGGATTGTGGACTGTGAATGGAAAACTAACCAGATGTTCAGATTGGGCTAAATGGCTCAATAGAATGATATGTGTACAGTATTACAGAGAAATGTTCTTTGAATCACAAAATGAACCCAAATCTGAAACAAAGTTTGTTATGCAGACATGATTTTGCTTTCATTGTTTTTTAAGTTTTTGGGGGCTTCTTGGACCTACTATATTTAAACTATATTTTAACATCTTTGCACCTACTATATTTAAACTATATTTTAACATCTTTGCATTATCTTTTATTTGTTACTTCCAGATTATTTTAAGATATTAATTCTTTGATAAAACAGTAATGTATTTAGCTAAATTATGTATTTTTTTTTGCAGGATTTGGCTCTAATTGAGGCATTGTGGAAGCAAGATGTTGATTTGGGAGTGCCCCGAGAGTTATTTGACGATGATGTGGAAACAGTCAATGATGCCCAAACCAAGGATAAGGACCATGGCAAAAAGGTAGAATTTATTATGATAAATAATTAGAACACTCCTTTTGGGACCTTTTTTTTTCCTAGTTTTATGTAAGTTACTCTAATTTGCTGAAATTATATGTATGTCAGGTCTCTTATTTTTGCATAGAAATACAGTGGAACCTCGTTTTTCGGCCGTAATCCGTTCCAGAAGTTCAGCCTAAATTCAAAACGGCCTAAATTCAAAGCAGTATTTTCCATAAGAATTAATGTAAATACAATTAATCCATTCCAGGAGGAGGAGAGTTTGTTTGGAGGCAGGACACGATACTCCTTCAATATTACGCTAATATCAACTCTACGGCTTATTTATCTATCACAATTGATCTGATATGACATAAACAATATATAGTAAATAACATAGAAACCTGATATACACTCTAGAAAGAATAAAATACAGTGGACCCCCGGTTAACGAACTTTTTTCATTCCAGTAGTATGTTCAGGTGCCAGTATTGACCGAATTTTTTCCCATAAGGAATATTGTGAAGTAGATTAGTCCATTTCAGACCCCCAAACATACACGTACAAACGCACTTACATAAATACACTTACATAATTGGTCGCATTTGGAGGTGATCGTTAAGCGGGGGTCCACTGTATGTCACTACGTATGTGAGGAATGGTGGTGGTGGTTTTGCTGTTGTTGGGTTATCAGGGCCACTGGTGGCATAAGCTGTACATATAGTGGTGGTGGTGGCGATAGCGGTGTTGTCAAGTGGCCCTACATACCTCCAGTAACATTGGAGGAGTTTCGTGTCCTTTTTCTATCACTTAATAACTTAACTTGCTTGCTAAACTGTTAATTACTACACTTTATCACTGGCTGGCGCTATAACCTTTATCGACTCCTGCTGCTTTAGTATTGTACATATCGTAGAATCACTGAAGAGGGCACATTCTCCCCTCTCTCTTCCTCCTCCACTTTCGCACTTTGCTAATTTCTTTCTTCAATTCTATCGTGTATCTCACTTTACCAAAGGGCTGGCACTAGGAAGTTTCTTTTGGCCAATGGTGGCTTATTTTACAGTCACACTTAAAAAACAAGCACAAAAACCAATGGTTGAATGCGTGGAGTATGTGCTCATTCACCGAGAGACACAGGGAAACTGACTCACCAAAGTGCGGTGTCCCTGCGGGAGAGGCGGGCTAACGCGTCTAATACGGTCAACTTACAAGGCACTGGCTGAAATACGGAGCAAAATTTCTGCACAAAAAACGGCCTAAATACAAATCAGCCAATAAACAAAGCGGCCGAAAAACAAGGTTCCACTGTACAGATGGAAATGTGTGCCAAACTTGAGCAATAAATAATTAGGTTATGTGAATCAATAACATATCTTCCAGTGGTATTTAGTGATGTATTTTTTCCTTGGTTATTATTACTCATATAAGACATATCTAACTCCTGTATATAAGTGGGACTGTACATATTTCTGTGCATTATGCCCTTGATGTAAAGGACTCCTGAAATATAGTACAAAAGCTTCTGGGACAGTTGATTTGGAACCAACAAAGGCTATTGGTTAAAGAATTGTATGTTATTGTTATGATCAAGGCAAAATCTCATCTGTATCTGCTATAAATGTAAATTTTTCAAATGGTCCGCTTCATAGCCAATGTAAATTTTGGGATGAAATTAATGAGATTTTATTCACATTAATAACCCAAAGGGTTGGTATCACAGGATAATCAAATAAAGTCATTCTGGTTATTTCAATTAGAGTTCTTTTATCCTCTTTCCCAGGATGCCACCGTGGCCTGGTGGCTAAAGCTCTCCCTTCACACGGCGAGGGTCCGGGTTCGATTCTTGGCGAGGGTAGAAGCATTGGGCATGTTTCTTTACACTGGTTGTTTATGTTCCTAGTAAAATGGGAAACTGGGTGTTAGTTGACTGGTGTGGGTTGCATCCTGGGACAAAACTGACCTAATTTGCTTGAAATGCTCTGCTTAACAAGTGGCTTTCTATATAGTAGTATGTCATTGATGTCAGCTAGGCCTATATAGCTTGTACATGTACTTGTAGAAAAAAAGATAATTTTTTTTTTTTTATCACACTGGCCGATTCCCACCAAGGCAGGGTGCCCGAAAAAGAAAAACTTTAACCATCATTCACTCCATCACTGTCTTGCCAGAAGGGTGCTTTACACTACAGTTTTTAAACTGCAACATTAACACCCCTCCTTCAGAGTGCAGGCACTGTACTTCCCATCTCCAGGACTCAAGTCCGGCCTGCCGGTTTCCCTGAACCCCTTCATAAATGTTACTTTGCTCACACTCCAACAGCACGTCAAGTATTAAAAACCATTTGTCTCCATTCACTCCTATCAAACACGCTCACGCACGCCTGCTGGAAGTCCAAGCCCCTCACACACAAAACCTCCTTTACCCCCTCCCTCCAACCTTCCTAGGCCGACCCCTACCCCGCCTTCCTTCCACTACAGACTGATGCACTCTTGAAGTCATTCTGTTTCGCTCCATTCTCTCTACATGTCCAAACCACCTCAACAACCCTTCCTCAGCCCTCTGGACAACAGTTTTGGTAATCCCGCACCTCCTCCTAACTTCCAAACTACGAATTCTCTGCATTATATTCACACCACACATTGCCCTCAGACATGACATCTCCACTGCCTCCAGCCTTCTCCTCGCTACAACATTCATCACCCATGCTTCACACCCATATAAGAGCGTTGGTAAAACTATACTCTCATACATTCCCCTCTTTGCCTCCAAGGACAAAGTTCTTTGTCTCCACAGACTCCTAAGTGCAACCACTCACCCTTTTCCCCTCATCAATTCTATGATTCACCTCATCCTTCATAGACCCCTCTGCTGACAACGTCCACTCCCAAATATCTGAATACATTTCACCTCCTCCTTACTCTCTCCCTCCAATCTGATATCCAATCTTTCATCACCTAATCTTTTTATCCTCATAACCTTACTCTTTCCTGTATTCACTTTTAATTTTCTTCTTTTGCACACCCTACCAAATTCATCCACCAATCTCTGCAACTTCTCTTCAGAATCTCCCAAGAGCACAGTGTCATCAGCAAAGAGCAACTGTGACAACTCCCACTTTATGTGTGATTCTTTATCTTTTAACTCCACGCCTCTTGTCAAGACCCTCGCATTTACTTCTCTTACAACCCCATCTATAAATATATTAAACAACCACGGTGACATCACACATCCTTGTCTAAGGCCTACTTTTCTGGGAAATAATTTCCCTCTTTCCTATGTACTCTAACTTGAGCCTCACTATCCTCGTAAAAACTCTTCACTGCTTTCAGTAACCTACCTCCTACACCATACACCTGCAACATCTGCCACATTGCCCCCCTATCCACCCTGTCATACGCCTTTTCCAAATCCATAAATGCCACAAAGACCTCTTTAGCCTTATCTAAATACTGTTCACTTATATGTTTCACTGTAAACACCTGGTCCACACACCCTCTACCTTTCCTAAAGCCTCCTTGTTCATCTGCTATCCTATTCTCAGTCTTACTTTTAATTCTTTCAATAATAACTCTACCATACACTTTACCAGGTATACTCAACAGACTAATCCCCCTATAATTTTTGCACTCTCTTTTGTCCCCTTTGCCTTTATACAAAGGAACTATGCATGCTCTCTGCCAATCCCTAGGTACCTTACCCTCTTCCATACATTTATTAAATAATTGCACCAACCACTCCAAAACTATATCCCCACCTGCTTTTAACATTTCTATCTTTATCCCATCAATCCCGGCTGCCTTACCCCCTTTCATTTTACCTACTGCCTCACGAACTTCCCCCACACTCACAACTGGCTCTTCCTCACTCCTACAAGATGTTATTCCTCCTTGCCCTATACACGAAATCACAGCTTCCTATCTTCATCAACATTTAACAATTCCTCAAAATATTCCCTCCATCTTCCCAATACCTCTACCTCTCCATTTAATAACTCTCCTCTCCCTATTTTTAACTGACAAATCCATTTGTTCTCTCGGCTTCCTTAACTTGATAATCTCACTCCAAAACTTTTTCTTATTTTCAACAAAATTTGTTGATAACATCTCACCCACTCTCTCATTTGCTCTCTTTTTACATTGCTTCACCACTCTCTTAACCTTCTCCTTTCTCCATATACCTTCCCTCCTTGCATCACTTCTACTTTGTAAAAACTTCTCATATGCTAACTTTTTCTCCCTTACTACTCTCTTTACATCATCATTCCACCAATCGCTCCTCTTCCCTCCCGCACCACTTTCTGTAACCACAAACTTCTGCTGAAACTCTAACACTACATTTTTAAACCTACCCCATACCTCTTCGACCCCATTGCCTATGCTTCATTACCCATCTATCCTCCAATAGCTGTTTATATCTTTCCCAACTGCCTCCTCTTTTAGTTTAAAAAACCTTCACCTCTCTCTTCCCTGATGCTTCTATTCTCCTTGTATCCCATCTACCTTTTACTCTCAGTGTAGCTACAACTAGAAAGTGATCTGATATATCTGTGGCCCCTTATAAACATGTACATCCTGAAGTCTACTCAACGTCTTTTATCTACCAATACATAATCCAACAAACTACTGTCATTTTGCCCTACATCATATCTTGTATACTTATTTATCCTCTTTTTCTTAAAATATGTATTACCTATAACTAAACCGCTTTCTATACAAAGTTAAAATAAAAGGCTCCATTATATTTACCCTGGCCCCCCAAACTTCCCTACCACCCTCTCAAAAAGGTTTCCCCAAATTTTAGCATTCGGGTCCCCTACCAAAAATTACTCTCTCACTTGGTTAAAAGGGCCCCTATACATTCACTTAACATCTCCAAAAATCTCTTTCTCCATTGCATTCCTCTCTTCTCGGGTGCTACACGTTATTAGCCCCCATTCTCGCATCCAACCTTTATTTAATCCACAAAATTCTTGCATTTAAAATTTCATATTTCTTTTCTCCTTTCCAAATGTCATTAAAC